CACATTTGAATTTTCTACGATGGAAACTACACTATACACAACAGGTACCTCTCCATCTCCGGTAACTTCTACAACAGAAGAGCAGACTACATCATCTATGACTGAGTTTACAACAGAAACTTCAGCTACTGTAGAACTTACCACACGCCAACAGACAAAAACCAGTCCTGATAGTTCACCCACAATAACAGAATCTACACCCTTCACAACAGAAGAGTCCCCTAGGACTACAACCACATTTAAATCTTCTACATCGGAAACTACATTATACACAACAGGTACCTTTCCATCTCCGGTAACTTCAACAACAAAAGAGCAGAATACATCATGTATAACAGGCAGCACTTCATTTTCAGCCTATTCCACAACACCACAGAACACATCAACATTGTCAACAGAAATATCTTCAACTACTGTTGAACAAACCACAAGCCAACAGACACAAACATTTACAGCAGAAGATTCATCTGTGATCGCAACCACAATCAAAACTTCTACAACTGAAAGTGGTTCAACATCGGAAACTGCAGTATACACAACAGGTACCTCTCCATCTCCGTTAACTTCTACAACAGAAGAGCAGAATACATCATCTATTACTGAGTTTATAACAGAAATATCTTCAGCCAAAAGTCTTCAAACACAAACCAGTCCTGCTATTTCTACTACAGTAACTGAGTCTACAACATTTACACCAGAAGAGTCCCCTATAAGCACAACCACATTCAAAGCTTCTACAATGGAAACTGGTCTAACACTGGCAAGTACAACAGGTACCTCTCCATCTTTACCATACTCCACAACACAACAGAATACATCAACTTTGTCAACAGAAGTATCTTCAGCTACTGTCAAACAAACCACAAGCCAGCAGACAGAAACCAGTCCTGATATTTCTTCAAAAGTAACTGAATCCACACCACTCACAACAGAAGAGTCCTCTGTGACTACAACAACATTTGAATCTTCTACACTTGAAAATATTCCAACAATGGAAACTACATCATACACAACAGGTAGCACTTTATCTTCAGTAAGTTCAACATCAGAAGAGTCCCCTTTAAGCAGAACCACATTCAAAACTTCTACAATGGAAACTGGTCCAACACTGGCATCTACAACAGGTACCTCTCCATCTTTACCATACTCCACAACACAACAGAGTACATCAAGTTTGTCAACAGAAATATCTTCAGCTACTGTCAAACAAACCACAAGCCAGCAGACAGAAACCACTCCTGCTATTTCTACCACTGAATCTGAACCTACATCATCCGTTTATTCAAGTATTACAACACCAGTGACCCCTTTAAGCACAACAACTTTAAAACTGTCTACAAGTAACAGCGGTCTGGAATCTACAACATCTAAAAATAGTCCAGCTGTAACAAATACAACATCAAGTACAATCCCTACTCCATTCTCACCATTGTCTACTACTGAAGGTCTGAGCACTTCAACCTTTACCCTGTCCAGTCCAGCTAAACAAACAAGTCAACAAACACAAACCACTATTTCAACCGCAAGCACAGGAATACATTCAACACAGTCAGTTAGTTCAACATTTCCAACACTGGAACCCATTAAGACAACATCTTCAGAGCCACCTGCCTCCTCCAGTACCATTTCCCCCAATCCCACCTCAAATCAAACCACAGCCTCAACATTTAGCATTTCTACTTCATCTCAGTCAAGATCCACTCTTGAAGCGCTATCCTCTCCTCATCCTAGTACCCAAAAAACATCTACATCACCACAAACTCCTGTTTTCACAACAGTTTTCAGTTCTCTTTCAACAGCTCAGGATTGTCAAGGCAAGTGTGAGTGTCATGGATCTCCATGCAGCTACAATAAAACAACAGGGAAATGCCAGTGTAACTGTAAAGAAAACATTAAAGGACCATATTGCAATTTAACAGTGGACTCTTCCATAGCGACTATCAGTGAGTATTCATCATGATGTTTTTAAATGACACATTTTAACGAGCAATGGGTATTGAAACAATAATAACTCAAACCCCAAGGCCCTTGTTGTAAATTAGTTACAGTAAAGATAGATTAAGTGGCTTAGTGATTAGCACTGTCGCCTCACAGCAAAAAGGTCGCCGGTTCGAGTCCCTGCTGGGCCAGTTGACATTTCTGTGTGGAGTTTGCATATTATCCCCTTGCTGGCATGGGTTTGCCTCACAGTCCAAACACATGCGCTATAGGTGAATTGAATAAACTAATTGGCTGTAGTGTATGAGTGTGTGTGTAAATGTGAGTGTGTATAAGTGTTTCCCAGTACTGGGCTGCAGACGGAAGGGCTTTCGCTGTGTAAAACACATGTCTGAATATTTGATGGTTCATTCCACTGTGGCGACCCCTGATATATAAGGGACTAAGCCAAATTAAAATGAATGAATGAATGTGACAATCCACACAGACACCAGACTTCCTTAAAGTTCCTTCATTACAATGATTTGCACACTATTTTCATACCAGTTAACTCATTCAATGTACCTTATGTTCTACTAATGAAGTCTATCTCAATTTACTGTTTAATTTCAGCTGGGGATATACCCACAAGGAAAGCAAATATCTCTCTTAGACTTGGACTGAATTATTCTGAGTATCAAAATCCAAACTCTGTGAAAACACAAAACCTGATTTCCATCTTACAGCATGAGGTAAATCAATCTAGTTTCACATTGTTTACTGATTGATTCTTAGGCCTTTCACAATAATCAACATATGGACTTTTTGCGCAACGCATGGACATGACCTCAACCATTTTTGGTGGTGCAATACATATCGCCCATACAACTCAAGCAACATTTTAGTTGATTGTGCAACTTCTCTATCTCTATGGGAGGTGTCAGTGTATATGGTTAAAAAACACTGTAGTATTTACTATAAATTATAGTATAAGAAATAGTATATTTTTAAGTGGGCGACGCAGTAGCGCAGTGGGTAGTACGTTTGCCTCACAGCAAGAAGGTCGCTGGGTCGCTGGTTCGATCATCGGCTCAGTTGGCGTTTCTGTGTGGAGTTTGCATGTTCTCCCTGCGTTCGCGTGGGTTTCCTCCGGGTACTCAGGTTTCCCCCACAGTCCAAAGACATGCGGTACAGGTGAATTGGGTAGGCTAAATTGTCCGTAGTGTATAAGTGTTTGTGTGGATGTTTCCCAGAGATAGGTTGCGGCTGGAAGGGCATCCGCTGCGTAAAAACTTGCTGGATAAATTGGCAGATCATTCCGCTGTGGCGACCCCAAATTAATAAAGGGACTAAGCCGACAAGAAAATGAATGAATGAATGAATGAATGAATATTTTCATGTGGGTGTCTGACAACTGAAAATATACAGTTGAAACCAGAAGTTTACATAAACTCTAAATAAAGGAATATAACCTTTTTTTTTTTTTTTTTAAATGTCTGGTGGTAAATCATAGTAAACGTTTACTATTTTAGGTCCGTTAGTATTACTTAAATGATTTACATTTGCTAAATGCCAGAATAATGAGAGATTTTTTTTTCTTTGAGAATGTTTCATTAATTTCTAGACAGTCCAAAGTTTACACACATTTCCTTAGTATTTTTTTTAGCTTTGCTTTAAAGCTGTATAACTTTGATCAAATGTGTTGGGTATCCTTACACAAGCTTCTCACAATAGTTTGAAGTATTTATATATGTATAAACTGGAAAAACATCCTTATACAAAGCTGAACCTAAATATATATATATACATCATGATAAATTGAATCAAATTTGTTATGACCACCCACTTACACACACACACACACACACACACACACACACACACACACACACACACACACACACACACACACACACACACACACACACATATATATATATATATACATATATATACCTATATATATATATATATATATATATATATATATATATATATATATATATATATATATATATATATATATATATATATATATATATATATATATATATATATATATATATATATATATATATATATATATATATATATATATATATATATATATATATATATATAT